ACTACCCCTACCCTACCACTACCACTACCCCTACCCCTACCAACACCGCTGGGTCATGTCAGGTCACGGAATAATTGGATCCATTTAACTTTTTTTTTTTAATCAGACTTTAAAAGTGCTTCTAGCCCTGCTCCTATTCGTGCCATTCCATTAGCCTTAGTCGAGTTTGTCGGAAATGGCGCCTTGTGACAAAAGTGGCGCACTGCGGCAAACGCGGCGCATTTTTACCCGGTGGATGAGCATGCATCTTTGCACCAAATTGCACCCACATCGGACCATATTTGACAAAACTGTGCGATTCGGGGCAAAAATGACGCCCTGTGACCAATGTGACGCCTTGCGGCAAACGCGGTGCATTTTTATACTTGTATCATCAACTGTTCCCATTGAATGAAAATCACCACATTCTCTCGCCACTTTTCATTCAAATTAATAACCTGCCCATCTGCCAATGCGAGGCACCCGCCACCGATCGGCATGCATTTAGTCCACAAAGTTTGTCGACCCCGGCTCTCAATGAAGATCTACGAACCGATCAAAATTTCATTGGCGTTCTTCCGGCGCCCGCCACGTGCCAACCGTGCACCCCAGCGAGTCGAAACCTAGAAAAGGCGCTGACCCGTGACGTCACCTAGAAGGTGTGCAAATTTCAACCCCCTACGCCGTACCATCTGCCGTGTAGGTGAGGTTAATTGAACCCACTACACGATGTGCGGACACACAGACTCACAGACAGACGGATTCTGTTTGAATAGTAAGTTAGACAAGCGGCTGCGCCACTTGCTTTGCTGCGTGGTAGGAAAAATTGTGGCACCAGCCAATTTGCTTTCGAATGGTATTCGATTCAAATTGATGTGTCGTTTAGAAACATAGATATGGACGGATATGTGAAGAGAATTTAAAAAAGAACTGTTCTGAGGCCTTTGTTGGATGAAATTTGGCTGATACGGGGTCAAGACAGGTCAAAGGGGTCAGCCCCGGTCACTTTGGGTGAGGCCAGGTCACAAAGGTCACCTCTCGTCCGATGGGATCAGCCCGGGCCACTGTTCAACTTTTGCCTCCACCACTACCCCTTCCCCTACCACTACCCCTACCACTACCCCTACCACTACCCCTACCCCTACCCCTACCACCGCATCTACCACTACCACTACCCCTACCCATACCACTACTACTATCCATACTCCTACCCCTACCACTGCCCCTACCACTACCCCTACTACTACCCCTACTACTACTCCTACCACTATCCCTACCCCTACCCCTACTACTACTCCTACCACTACCCCTACCCCTACCCCTGCCACTACCCCTACCCCTACCCCTACCCCTATCCCTACCCCTACCTCCTACCACTACCACTACCCCTACCCCTACCACTACCATTACCTACCACTGGGTCATGTCAGGTCACATATTAATTGGATCCAATAAATGTTTTTAAAAATCAGAATTTAAAAGATCTTCTAGCCCCGCTCCTATTCGTGCCATTCCATTACCCTTAATCGATTTTGTCGGAAGTGGCGCTTTGTGACAAATGTGGCGTGTTACGGCAAACGCGGTGCATTTTCACCCGGTGATTGAGCATGCATCTTTGCACCAAATTGCACCCATATCGGACCATATTTGACAAAACTGTGCGATTTGCGGCAAAAATGAAGCCCTGAGATAATTGTTGCGCATTCCGGCAAACGCGGCGCATCTTACCTGTTGGTTGAGCATGCATCCTGGCAACAAATTGTACCTTTATCGGACCATATTTGACAAAACTGTGCGATGTGCGGCAAAAATGACGCCTTGTGACCAATGTGACGCCTTGCGGCAAATGCGGTGCATTTGTTGATTCCTATCACAAACAGTACCCATTTAGCGACAATCAACACATTCCCTCGCCACTTTTCATTCAAATTAAAAACTTGCCCATCCGCCAATGCGAGGCACCCGCCACCGATCGGCATGCATTTAGTCCACAAAGTTTGTCGACCCCGGCTCTCAATGAAGATCTACGAACCGATCAAAATTCCATTGGCGTTCTTCCAGCGCGCGCCACGCGCGAACCGTGCACCCCAGCGAGTGGAAACCTAGAAAAGGCGCTGACCCGCTCTATCACCTAGAAGGTGTGCAAATTTCAACCTCCTACAACAAACCGTCTGCCCTGTAGCCGTAACAAATTGAACCCACTACACGATGTGCGGACACACAGACTCACAGACTCACAGACGGATTCTGTTTGAATAGTAAGTTAGATTCCTGCCCGGGGCTGGGAAAATTTATACATGCGTAGGTACCATTATAGGGAGCGTTGCAAATGTTATGGAGGAACCAAAACGCCCCAATTTCTACCTTGTTGAGTCTTTCGTGGCTATGGTTTGTTGCGAATTAGCGTCAAAGTTTAAGTTTTATATGGTGATGTTTCACTTTATTCAATTATTCATGTCATGACAAATAATAAAATCCTTGCATCAAACACAATACAATGTAGGTAGGTATATCTTAAGCCAATCAAATAAAATGGACGATAGATAAAATGAAGTTATAAGGAGCAAAGTGATGCTCTTCAACTTTATGATGTGACGTCATCCATAATGACGTCATATATTCGAGAGGTGCAGGAAAACGTCGAGGGGTGCAGGAAAATGTCGAGAGGTGCAGGAATATACATTCTTGGACGATACCGCGAAAACGAAATATTTCTATCGAGAGTTTTCAAAGGATTTCATGCACGAGGCCTTGGCCGAGTGCATGAAATTCTTTGAAAACTCGAGATAGAAATATTTCGTCGCGGTAGAGTCCTAGATATTATTTCCTGTATGTTTCTTAATATCGCTCATTATCTGCTTAAAAAAGGCCGAAATATGCATAAATAAAATACAGTAACATTAACTACACGTTAGGTACTGAAATACTGGCAGTTCTAATTACTTAACAGTGCAGCAAAGCTTACAAATTTTCTTTAAAACAGAAGCCCTCGATGAAATCAAGCTATCCAAGAAAACCATCCAAGAAAACGTCTCGCGCAAAGTTTCTTGGATGGCTGGATTGCATTGCAAGACTGCATCAAACATACAGGAAAACACATTTTCCCCTACTGCATTCCTACTGCATTTCCCCACGGAAACCAATCAACCAAGGCTATAGAACTCCAGGTAAGGACACCAGCCGTTTGACCTTGAACGCTGCCGGCCGGCCGATGACGTCATTGGAGGCAAGCCGGCTCGGCGGACACACAAGGCGAATGCATAACGGAGGGGCGTTGGAACGTTGCGGGAGCCGGGGAGATATTTTAATGTGGTTGCATACCACCATTTTTGTGTTGATTGATCTACAGACTGCATTCTTTTAAACCTCGATGCATCCTAGGCCTGGATGGTGCGTACATTCGTGGAACGATCACCCCGTCCGACGTCCGTGGTCGAAGCTGTCATAGTATTAAAGACACTAAGACGGGTGCAATGACGGCGATCCGATCCCGTCTCTGGCGAATCTAGAAGGGTCGTAAGGACCCAGGCCAAATCTGACCGTCTATTTTTAGGGAAACGGGGTGGGTGAATTGACAACCGATGGCTTATTAAGAGATGATGAGAAGGGATCCCGTCGTCGATTGTTGTTTGACAGACAACACATGTTGTACTGGGCGTATGACCATCAGAGGTAATGCCTGAACGTAGGCAAGCATAATTGTTATGTCATACTGTTTAGGAATATAAAATGGTAATGGAGATCATTGAGGATATGATCTCTACATTACGGGAATTCACTAATTACTACGGCCCATAGGGGCACCGCCGGAGCTGTTGTTTTGCCATCGGTCCCAGGCAACTACAGGGAGCTGCAGTACCCGGCGGCCAAAGCGGCCACCTCGTCGACTCGCAGCTGTCCTGTGGGATTCCGTGATGCTTTAGTGCTTCACCCACAGAAGCACGGGCATAGCAGTATAGGATGTGGGGCTAGGTGTCTGTCCACCTCTTCATTGAAAGAACAACTGTATACAGCGCCTGGTCCCGCCGAAGCTCGGTTGATCGACCGTGACTTATTCACAACTGGCGGATCCAGGAAGCGGTCTTGGACACTGCGGGGGCTTACCCCAAAAAGGTTTCTCGGAATTTATTTAAAAAACTCGGATTTCGATTCCTTGCGCACTGCTGTGCAGTGTGATTAACCAACATTTCCTCAGAAAAGTTTTGAAGTTTTCTTTTATTCTCGAAAAGCGATTTCGGGCGCTGCCAATGTGGGGGAAGACATTTGCCCCAAATGCCTTCCCCTGGATCCGCCAGTGGGTTGCCCCACTCCGAGCTTGACTAAAAACGTCTTCAAATCCCACCAGAAACCGATGGTAAGGTGAATTTAAATCCAATAACTCATCTCTGTCTGCCCGCCTAAATATACAACACATGGTACGGCACCCGGCCCTGTCTGAGCTATGAGCCGATCGTGATATTTTCGGCTTTCCCCATCCCAAGCTCGATTAGAAACATTCTCCTTCCCTACCCGATTGCTGATGTCAATTCAAATTCAATACCTCATCTCTGTCTGCCCGACCATAACCCATTCATTGCACACCGTTCAGCGCCCGGCCCCGCCAGAAGTATCCTAGCGCGCTGAGCAGTTGCCTCCAGCCGCGTCATCGCGAGGCTCCGCGCGGCCCATAAATTAATACATTGCGCGAATAGCCGTGTCGCCCCCCTGCAATCAACATTGACTTCTTGTATGTTTCAAAAGTGTAGCATAATGCACGTGCCATTTTAATGCCTGACTTTCTCGATTTAAACGTGCAATGTTGCATGTATGGGAAAAATATTTCTGCCTCACCTGTAATTCTGCCACGCCACATAAGGTGTCATAATATTGCCAATAAATCTGGAAAATTTGAATGATGTAGGTTATATAGTTAGGAAATAAGAGATGTTCAAAACCGTGACACGTTTTTTGAGACACCCTGTTATTACGTTGACACCAACTATGCGGAAACATTGTACAGCAGCTCACATGCATCTACTTACCGTTTTATACGTCGGGGCCGGCCGGGTCGCCGTGGATCGGTCAGGCCGGGTCGACGGCGACCAGCCACCTGATGCCACTCCAGAGTGCAGAGATAGTGTCGCGTCGCTTTATCAGTGACTATCTTTGACGGCCTACAGGGCATGAATCATAAATCAAGGACATCTCTTTATCATTGGGCTTAGCCGTTCATATTGCTTATCGCTCTGTGGGTGGTAGACACTGACAGTGAGATCATTATGCTCTTCAACTTGTTCAAAGATCACTAACTACATGCTGGATTAGATTGTAATGCTTTATATGCTATGTTGGTAACTTGAATGTACATCTAACCCTCGCCGGACCTATTGGTTTTCTACATACGCGCCGGCCGAGGGGGGGGGGCGGGTACCCCCCCCTCGCCGTTTCGCCCCTGGTGGAGCTAGGGCGTCGCAGAAAAAACGAGCGTGTGCGCCGTTACAAGACGCAGAGATTGGTACCCGATTTTAAGGTCCTAGGTCAACAGGTGACCTCTGAGGTCAGGTTAAGTGCCCCAAGGTACGGTTCAGTTTTTGGTGAATAACTTCGCAAAAAACGGCCGCAGAGCCGCGATTTTGGCAGCATCGTGTTCGCCTCGCTCAGGCGCGTCGAATGATATACTTTTTGTTCGGGTCAGGTTAACTTAGGGTGTTGACCTCAGGTCAAGGTCAGGTCAGCACCCCCAGGTCACGAAGTTGGTCGAAAGAGGTCTTGTCACGTATCATTCGATTCGGCAGGTCTTCCTGAGTCCATTGGTGGCTTTCCCGACTCGCTAGCTCAATTTGATCAAGAGTTATTGACGAAAAACTAATATGACCTTGATGACGTCATAAATGACGTCAAGCAAGGTCAACATTGCAAAAGTGACGCATCTAACCTTGCAAGGAGTGCATCAAATCACGATTCTGTGTCTTGAGATAGTTGGAGATCGTTCCCGGCGCCAGGATAGCAGTTTTCATTTTTCCCCATTGACTTATAATGGTGAGGTCACGAAAATGACCTGACCTCATACGACCTTTAGGAAAGATCCGAGATATATAAACTGTGAGGCTCATAATGGATAACAGATCCTGCAAGTTTCATTTCCCTGTGACATCTCCTCTGGCAGTGAGGGCGTTGCGAAGTTGCGACATCTGAAGACCGTGCAGAGGTTCACTTCTGACGTCATAGGTCAGTGACTTGACCTGACTCAAAAATGCGGTTGGTGTCAAAAGATCCGGCTTGAATCAAAGGTCAGGTATGCTAAGTTTCAGCTCTCTATCGCCAGCGTGTTCGGAGCTATCGCGAAAAAAAACCTATGGGGGAGGCACCCGCCCCCCCCCCCCTCGGCCGGCGAGGGCTAACTCTTATCTTGGCATTTTACTTGTGCTTTGGAGAGGTGGACATAGGTGACTTTAATTTTCTTGCCGTTTGTAACTCTTTCAACACTGCGTTTTTTTTTTTGAGAGTGATTTCTAGAGATGTCAGTCAGATACCAACTTTTTGGCATACCGATACCAAACCGATGCCAACTTGGTATTTGGTATTTCAAGGCTAATGCATTTGGTATTTTGTTTGTATTGTGAATCGTCCCTTATGTAAAAGATGCTGTGAATTTGGTAAAAAGTTGGCATTTTCCTGAGTTAACTAAGTTGGTTCGGTTTCGGTATTCTTCCATGGTTATTGTTTGTATCTGGTTTGGTATCGGTATCAAGATTTTTCGTAATTGACATCACTAGTGCTTACGTAGGGGAGAGTGGGGTAAGATGCCCAGGGTGGGAAAGACGCCCCACCCCCTCTAGCGGCGAAACAAAGAATCGAACCTGGAAATTAATGTTCTTAGCGTAAAACGGAAGCCTGCCTTGTTAACTGCACAAAAATTTGCGAAGCTCAGTTGGGCAACGGCTGGCTGGTGATTGCATGTTTTTTAGTTGCTGCTTTCAAAAAATATTTTGGTGTCAAAAAATTGTAAATATCAAAGAAGGTAGATAATTTTTGCGTCCCGTGCTATAGTCGTGATACATTAAGATGCGCGTACTGTGTCCCAAACAGTTTGTTTCAGGGTGTAGTTTTATGGCCAACAAATTGTACTGATTTAATGTTACTTCGGTACCTTGGGGTAAGATGCCCCCTGTCCTGATGGGGAAAGACGCCCCCCTAAATCCGTAGGCTGTCCTTCAAGCAGCCCGTCAAATAATTTATTACATACTTGTGATGAGAGACAAAAGCCGATCTGGGACTATTGAGAGTCCAGTACGGTCGGGTGCTCCTCATGCCGGTCTCTCGGCCCACACAGCGACTTTTTTGGGCGGCATCTGACTCTGAGAGCCCTCACGATGGCCTCTGTGGGACCCATTATTGGCTCCAGGGCCCCTCACGACATCCTTTGAGGGCTCCCACGTTGGCTCCACGGGCCGCGCTGGCATCTGAGGTCTCCACGATGGGCTCGAGGGCCCTCAAGCATCATGAAAACCTATAAAGGGCCCCACAGTGGTCTCTGAACGCCACCACGGAGGCTTGTTTGGCCGCGCTGGACTATGATGGCCCTAACGATGGCCTCTGAAGCCCCTTACGACTACTTTTGAGGGCCCTTACGATGACGTTTGGTGTCTACTGCAGGCTCGAAGTGACTACTGATTCGTTCAGGCGATTCACGTGCCCATTTATGTCACTTATAGTGCAGGGGGCATCTTCCCCAACGCCAGGGGGCGTCTTTCCCACCCTGTGGGGTAAGATGCCCCCTTTCACTTCTTCAGGAAAATGCTTAATAGCAAAAAAGTTCTCATATTTCAGGCACAAAAGTGTGATATTTTTTTAGAAAAATGATGTCGTCTTCCGTTGAAACTCCATGTTTTTGCTTTCCAATTGTCATTTTCGAATAATATATGACATAGTAAAACCCTGGGCATCTTTCCCCACTCTCCCCTACTTAATAACGTATAGCGTCAAGGTCGTTAGGTGTTTGTGCATAATCATTCACGTAAACAAAGATTAGGATAACGTGCAGTGCACGCGTAAATTTTTTGTCGATGCTTGTGCAATGTGCTCTCATGACATGAGAAAGGGCCGGGTGGCGGGGTTGACGGCTTTGGCGGCCCGACGTGCAGGCCCTGGCCGTACATACATACCTCTCCCATCCGCCCCATCTAGTCTGTTGCCCATTCAAGGCACTGGCCATTTAGAGCACCGGACACATCGTGCCCTGGACATTATGAACCCTGGCCTAAATGATACGCACCTATTCAAGGCACTGCAATATGGTTGGAAACGGCCTCACGGATGGCCGGGGGTCAACGCGAAAAAAAAAATGTTTTGCCCATAACTTGTTAACCCTATTAGTGGCAGGCTCCTGGCTACCCCATATTAGTGGCAGGGGGGGGGGGGCTGTTTACGACCCCCCTTGATATCTCAAGATCTAACCGGCCGATTTTCAAAATTCAATCGGCATTCGATTTGGCTCAACGAGATCTACATTTCTAAAAAAAATAAAATTAAAAAAATGTCAATAGGGGGGTAGAGGGGGGTAAAAACGGGCAAATTGCAGATACATTTTAGACTGTTTATCACGGCCAGGTTTCTGAACCAATCTTAACGCAACTTTTACCGATCGATAGAGAATGAACCAGGAATTCACATGGATCCTAAAAATATGCATTTTCAAAAATCATAGGCGGATACAGATCATTGAGATTGGGGGTACACAAAAAGTATAGTAAATAAGGTTTTTGTTGGTACTGTTTCTAAAAAGGGTAGCAATGGTCTTGTTATGTTACAATTTTCTTATGAGAGAACGACTAAAATTGTATTGGTCATGCATAGGCGGTGTCAGGGCACCTATGTTGGGAGGTAAAAAATAACCCCCTTTTTGGACGCCTGGATCCGCCTATTATAGCAAAAACGTGTCAAAAGAGGATGCACAATAACTTTGTATATGTTATTACATGATACCTTTCATTCACTGTTCGTAAAACTGGTGCAGCATCGTGATCTTCGCCCAAATGACTCGCTTAACGAATAGGACCCCCCAATTCCCAGTGCTCTGGAGCCGCCCCTGGTAAAGTTATGAACTTGAAATTTTCAGGGAATGTGCCCAATTTAGTTTTAGGAAAAGTCAGAAAATTTCAGCATCGTAGCTTCAGCGGTTTCGGAGATATTCCCGAAAAACCTGAGGGGTGGATAAAAACAACCCCCCCCCCCTGCCACTAATAGGGTTAATGCGTAGACCGACTGCGATGAAACTTTGCATAGGTATACCAGTGTCTTTCGTGCATCATACAGTAACTCAGAAATGACGAGGTCACGTCACGTCACGGGTGTGTGACGTCATCATTGCAAGTATGTTATAAGTCGCCTATGTCCTTCGTAATGTTATCGATATCGCGAGGCATTTTGAACATGTTTTGAATACTGCTATTACTGAATGGATATTGTTGTTACGCTTTAGGGCGAGAAATATCAACGTAGTGACGCACAGTGTCTTACTATTGGTCATAAAGGGTCAAAAATTTGGAGAAAAAGTATTAATGATTTTTTTTTTAGATTGGGCAAAAAGGTAAGAAACAAAATGACGATCAAATGACAAAAAATGCGTCAGATTAACCCGGCAGTTGCTGGGATATTTCCCCACCCGCCGTTTGCCGGGGGGGGGGCGTTCAACGCCCCCAGCCGATAACTCGCGAACAAATAGGCGCAGCGAAACGAACGAGGCGGCAAACGAAAGAACGCGACGAGACGATTCACATGAATACTTAAAAATTGAATTTCGAGGTCACAGGTGCGTTTGTCAGACACAGGTCGGGTCAAAGTCAGGTCAAACACTTGAAATCGGGCTTTCGGTAGCATGGACTTTAGAACCTCGCATCGGTGCCTCTCGTTATAAACTCTGTCACAACTGTCACAACCCTTCATATAAGTGCTAAAAGAGTGTCAAATCCATGTAGGGGTCAGTCAAAAATAGGCCAAGGTCAAAGTCAGGTCAATCAGGTAAGCACATAACCCCGAAAATTAAAACTGGTACCTATTCGCAGCCCATGACACATGTTTTATGGGTACTTTTGGGCGTAGAACACGATGGTGACATTCATTTTATCATACGAGTACGTGGTTGGTTGAAAAAAGATCAATTTCAGAAATGCAT